TCACATATTATCTGCTATCACAGCATATTATTTGCCCGAATTTATCAAAATTAAATTGCCGGATAGATGAAGGAGCTTACCTGCGGGATTTTTCAATCCAGCCGAAAGACCGTCTAGAAAAGCCTGCCTTGATGATGTTACTGATTTGTCGACCCAAACTTTCGCTTGAGTATGTCCAGCATTCACCCACGTTTCGTCCAAATAGTAAATTTTTCTTTTTTCATCGCGAAACTTCCGAATCTTCCTAAGGTATTCCCTTCTCCACACAACAATTTCTTCTTTCTCTATTAACATACTGTTTCTTCCCCGTTTCAAGAATCGAAAATTAAGTTCCTTCAAAAGTTTTCGGAATGTGGTTCTTTTAAATGATCCTCATCAGCATTAACTAATCTTAATATCTTATCTACTGTAGGTATCTCATTTCGGAAGAAAAAATTATGCACTTTCCTCCTGATGGCAGTTCTGTCAAAGTCATCTACTCCGTCCGTTATCCTTTTTCTTGCAGGATACGGTTTTGGCTCAGAAAGTGAGTGAGTGCTCCTATATTCCTTAATGATCCTATAAACACTGGACCGACATACTCCAGAAATATGTGCTACCTTACATATAACTTCGTCCACTACCAAATCGGGTTTTTCTTGAATTTGGTTTTTGTATATATTTAATATTATTTGTTTTTCATTTGCACTTAAATGTAGCTTCTTAGCCCTTTTTTTGGGTGCGGTTGCGCTGATGTCAACCACTTCGTCGGCTGTATCTGTGTCAGACATCGTATCTTAGGCAATATATAAACAAAACGTTCCACTCGCGAAAAACGAGTATACGCTACTGAATGCGTAATGCGTATGCAATGCAATCCTGTGCGTGAATTAACTGTTAGATGCCTGTCGTGTCATCTACAATCACGTTTACAAGTCCAAACCTGTGCAGATTCGTAGAGCGCCGACGACTGCTAGTGACCTTGAATTTGTCTGTAGATCGATGTTACTCCAGTCAATTTAGGAATGTTTTCTAAACCAATTTGTTGTTCCTACATCAAAAATATATCGATGATGTTTTGTACTGGGAGCTCATGAAAGATCAAGGTAACTTATTTTAACAGTCATCCTTTTTCTAGTCTCAAGATGACACGAAAAAGGGTCTGTGGATTCACTAGAAATACACTGCCGAGGATGTTTAGACCTAAAGTGACTGGAGTATATCCGTGGATGCTTTCGAGGGATCTGTTCACGTGCTGATCACTGTTTACGTTTAATGTCTTTCTTCAGCGCCCAGAGTTTAGTGTTTTTACACAAGTTGATAGCTGCGTCAAGACCTGCATACCTGAGAGAAAAGGTCATATTTAATCGAGAAATTCATGACAGGATTACCAGGGACCGTATTATGGTCGATACCTCCACACTCTATGACACTCTTCAAGCGTTGTTTCTCATATAATGCTGCCGTATTTTACAATGCTTTGCCCAGAAAGTACAGGGAAATGTCTTTTGCTAGTTTTCGAAGGCAAATCAAGCAATTTATGCTCACTCTTCCCTGATATTGATATAACTGATTTTCTGAGCCGTTTAGGCATACGTGTACATAGTGTATATAGTTGTAGTGTACTTTAGTTTAGTTGATTAGTTATTTAACCTTTCTGTATTCCTTAGTGTTTCTTATATATTTTTTTTTCTCTTTTTTGGAATTGCACACAACATCGTGCTTAAAGTACAGACAAAGGTAGTTAAGTGTAAGAGTAGCTCAAGCTAAACTTCGCTATCTTTGTCCCTCACATGTACAAAAGATGAATAAAGGCGTTATTATTATTATCATTATTATTATTATTAAGTTTCACGTTAATCAAACTTCTGAAAATTGGTTAAAATTATGCTCAAAAATTCCGTAACATACATACATAGATAGATACATACAGGTCAAGCTAATGAAAGCGTGTTAAAAATATAGCGTCTTATACTGGTATTCACCTTATCATCACCTTAAATTGTTATTAGTAGACGAAAGCGAATTACTGATATGACACTGTCTCCCCCTCAAAATTTCCCTCTAAATTGAAATCTCTGCGTTCTTTCCAGTTGAACTTCATCAAATAAACGTGAAATTGCCTCTTATTATTGCACCCCTCGTCGGAACGAAGATTAAATTAGCTTGGAACGCAGTTTAATTTCACATTCACACTATGCGACATGACTTGGAAATCCTCTAGGAAATGGGAAACCTACGTTGGTCTCAGGCCATTCTTACTGTATTTAAATATTGGCCGCTGAAGCCAGTAGAATCTAGATTCAGGTGCAGTTGCAGGTGTATTAAAAACAAGCGCTACTAATTATCTCTCTAAGATCGGAAAGAAGTTGAAGCTAGGTAAATATTAAACACTGACTGATTAATTGGTTCCTGTCGGAAGAATATAGACTGTTAAGCAAACTTATACCAGCTGAGAAATACCCCTCAGCTTCAATTATCTGGAAATATCTCACAATAAAAAATCGCTTAAAACGTTACTAAAAGCTTTTCTTTGAAGTGAAAATGCTGTTAAACGGCATCCCAAGTCTCAACGGCCTTCTCTTTCTGCTATAACAGGCAGGAGCGCAGCTTTGAGAAGAAATAAGCAGTAAATTTTTACAACGAAGCTCTAAAAGAGTAATACGCTATACGCCAAATAACCCTTTTCCATAATAACAATTTCCATCAAAACTAGCAAGGAGTGCGATTCTCCATTTGTGTTGACCTATGGATTGCCTTGTAGCTTGACGTGAGGTGACGCCAACAGAATCTATTTTCCACGGTACTTCATCATGAATGAGACGTACAGCTGATCGACACGTCACATCCTTAAAATGGACATATTTGTGTAATCATGACCAACCGCAGACAGCGCTGTATCGTGCTCATTAGCAGCTCATGAGTACGATGTAGGTTCAGTCGTTCTGTATATGTTATCGGCAATCTGTATAAGCCGGTATTCTATACAATACCTAGGTAATGTATAGAATACCTTAAACGTGTAGGTAAATTATCAAATATTAGGTACTTGTTTTATACTTTGCCCAGTTATTCAATACAATACCAAATGCGCAGCCAGTAATGTATGTAAAAGACGAGGGCAACGAACGGGTTTTGCTTAAGGGGAAGGAGTATCTTTCAGCAATAGCAGCTGCAAAACAGCTACACGGCAGTTACAGAACAAAACTGGAGGAGTGTGAATGAAGGTTCTCCATAATGCCTTCCCACGCTTAAGATTAAAATCCCATAAGAAAATGGACCGGGTAGCACCCAAACCGAAACAGCTAAACGTAAGGTATCACATAAAAAGGGCTACTCCATGAACTGGTGTTTGGGGTCTAATATCCCAAAATCTGGAAGTTAATTAAACGACTCCCACACCACAGTCTCCTCAGAAAAGAAAAAAAAACAGTTGATTTTCATAAAGGTGATTTTAAATGATGTAACTTGTTTCATTTGCCCGTCATTCTATAGGTATGCCGGTTAACATTGATAAATTTAGACCAAAATCTATTTATTTTACACATTGCCGGTGGAACAGCAGGTACTCTATACAATCCCTAGGAATTGTATTCATTACCTAGGTAAAGTATGTAATGGATACTAATATTCATAATATTTCATACATTGCCTGAATACTTGAAGTATACAGATTGCCGGTAACATACACAAACGGACGGGAAGCGAAAAAGGGGGTACCTATGGTCTTTTGAAAAACTAAAAACACTGTGCATAAGCAGGAGAGAAATCTCCTTTGAAAACCATTGGTAGGTAGAGATCATCAGATTTCTCATCTAATTTGGTAGAAGTAGCATTCCGGGAGACCATACCTAAAACCATTGACAGGAAATGCTAAACACACTTCTACGTGTATTACATCTCTGAGAAGAAATACGGTCATGTCCATTAGCAGTCATATTGCATGTATTGTTTTGTTTCGATCCGTTAATACTTTATTAAATAAAACAGATAGACAGGTAGAAAGTATGAATCCGTAGCGTAAGAGACATACTGCAAAATACGGCTTTGTTCATGGATCTGGCGTCGACAGATCCGTCAGAGTTGTGTTACTTGTCGATATATCGAATGCCAATTGATAATCATTTGTTTTCACGTAATGAAGTATCGCCAAATATAGTATGATTAGACGAAAAACAAACAGCTTCAAAAATCCGTTTTGTCAGTTTTTGGGTTGGATATTTGATGAGCAGATCATTCCCCGATCTTCTACTGCAAGTGTCTAGTGTATTTACGAGGTCTGTAAATTAAGTGATGAGACTGGTAACGTAGAGCATTGGAGGTGCAGGATTCGGAGGAGATACGGCGCAACATCTTCAGTACAAGTTTGAACTTGGTCGAGTCCAAAGCTATTTTTTTGTGAAACAGTATTTCCTATTACGTTCTAAAAACTGACCAGCTGAAAGCTATTCCAATATTGGAATTCCAGCACTGCTGTGAGGAGTAGAAGAATGATCTCCAGCGCTGTGTGGTTTCAGAAGGAAGCCATTTTGAGGGTCACAATATAAAATTGTAGTTACGACTGAATAAAAAAATTAAAAAAATTTTTTCGAACATATGTAGCTTTCATCCGCATTCTTCTTTATATCTGAGTAGATATTTGATTGTTTTATAATTGCCCGTAGATGGCAATTCTGGTCTGTCCAAATGTTACCCATCTTCAAATATTCAGCTTCAATATGCTTATATAAGCGCAAGGTCGCAACTCTTTCTACTTCAAATCTATAGTAAAACACTCGTATACAGAGTGTTTCAGTTTATTGTTGCATAACTTTAAGATTCGATAGAACTTTCAAAATTAATGCATAAGACTTCATTTGGCGTAAAGATCCGCAAAATGCGTGCTTCTCAACAGAGCTACGACCAAAAAGTGAAGTCTCTTCAACTTGGACACGGAACACAAAGTTCGAGAGGAGCAATGGAGCAATGGAACAACAGCGGACTGTTCCCGGACTGAAAGGACCGAACACTTGTCAAAATGTAACATTGAGGTTAGGAAAGAAACGAAGACGTAAACAATTCTCAGATGAAGGGTCCTCAACTACGAAATGAGATAATAGGTGGAGAGTTACGTATAAACCATAGAGAAAATCTTCAGGTAGTTAAACTAGAAATATGTCTACTCTTGTTTAGTGTTTACGATTATTGCAGGGTCACGGCAGTTCCTACAAGGTTTTCAAATTAAACCCGTAACAAGGTTATGGACTATAGTTGCGACCAAAATTATTGTTCATAGACTTTATTACCGTGTTTATATCTTTTATTATCACGAACTATTTTGTTTCAGTAGGTAGGCGATGGCACCGCCAAACAAAGTTTTACGGCTCAAAATAGGTGGCAGACCATATACCGCGTACAGCACCGATGCAATGGAAAGATGTCTACATGACGTCACAAATCACATACTAACTCAACGAGAAGCTTCAGAAAAGTACAAGATACCTCGTAGTACGATAATACTTAAGCTAAAAGCTCATCGTAACAGCAACGTACATGTTCCAGGTCGTAAATGTTTTTTTTTTCTCCAGAAGAAGAAAAATCATTCATCGATAACGTTGTTCTACTGTGCGATTATAGATTTCCCTAACTTTGTTTGATCTGAGGTGTGTTGTTAAGATGTATTTGGACAGCCGTGGTACCACAATAAATGCATTCAAGAACAATTTTCCTGGAAGGCGTTGGGCCGAGTGCTTTTTAGAGCGCCATAAAAAAGAACTTTCTCAAAGATTCTGCAGCAATATTGAAAGAGTTCGTGCAGCCGTCAATGTAGAAATAATAAATAACTTCTTTGAGCATTTGGCAACTGAAATTAAAGATGTCCCCCAAGACTGTATCTACAGGGTGTTTCAGTTTATTCTTGCATAACCTTAAGGTTCGATAGAACTTTTAAAATTAATGCATAAAGTCTATATAAACATGGGTCGAAAAATGCGTGGCTTCCGAAATACAGGGTGTTGAAATTTACTTTTTAAAATAGTTTCTTTTAAATATTTCGAACAATATTTGATCTATAACACAAGGGTTTTTTGGTACGACAAAACGAACCATGGGCATAGTTTAACTGTAGCCGCTAGAGGGCGCTCTCTACTGTACCTGTATTGTATTAAAATGACCAAACATTTTTTCTTAGTGCAATTTTTTGCTTTTGGAATAAAAAAACTGATTCTTTGCACTTTTCTGCATAAAAAAGCTCTCCTGTAAGTTTTTGTTATAGTTAGCCGTTTTTGGGATATTTCGATTTTTAAGGTTCGATGCATTTTTAATAATTTATGGGAACATAATATTTTATTTTTAAATTTTCGATTTGGGCATTACAAGTGATTAAGATGATCGTTTAGATTGTGTTTTTAAACACAGCAATAATTCCTAACTCCAAATAAACACAAAAAAACAGAATATTAATTTGTTTAATCTTCCAATATTATTTTTAACAAATTAAATTAATTATTTACAACTAAAATGCTATTGGACAGTTAGGACAAACAAACAAAATCTAAAGTAGTTGCTCGAAATGTAAACCCAATTGTTCAATACACAATTCACATCTACGAATGATCGAACGTGGTATAGCATTATTCAAATAAGGCCTTATTTCATCACATGCATTCCTGATTCTGTCTATTAGCATATCTCTTGTGGTTACGGGAGTCTGGTACACTTTTTCTTTTAGAGATCCCCACACAAAGAAATCTAATGGATTTAGGCCAGGGGATCGTGGAGGCCAGGCGACTGGTCCTCCACGGCCGATCCATCTTTCTGGATAATTTTTGTCCAGCCAGTTTCTAACTATTCTCGAATAATGAGCTGGACAACCATCAAGCTGGAACCAGGCCAATCTCCTTAAATCTAATATAATATCATCCCACATATTTGCATGTTCAGCCTTTAAAAATTTCAAGAAGGTCGCAGCATTTAACCTTGCAGGCAAATAGTCGATTACGGTAGATACCAATCCACACGTTCACACCAAATTCATGCTGAAAATTTCTTTTCAGAACTGCATGCAGATTTTCATGCGACCAAATATGTTGATTATGAAAATTTACCACGCCACGTCTAGTGAAGCATGACTCATCGGTCCATAAAACGTTACTTAAGAACTCCCTATTATTATCAGTTCTATCAAGAATCCACTGACAAAATGTGATTCTTCGTTCTCCGTCCCCTGGCTGCAGTCCTTGCACAGTTTGCAAATGGTAAGGACGTCTATGGTCATTTCTAAGAACACGGTGAACATGACTTGCTGAAATTCCCAAGGCACCAGAGACTCTCCTAACACTTGTGGTCGGATCTCTATCAAACTCACGCAGAATCATACGGGTAAATCTGCGCTGACGAACATTTATGTTTTGATCCCTTTGGAGATTTCCAAAACCATTTTCAATTATTTGGCGATGCACTCTTACAAATACTGAGCGAGTTGCATCTCGTCTGTTTGGAAATCTTCGTGCGTACTCTATGGCTGCTTCTGCTGCGTTTCCATTTACAAAGCCATACACAAAATGAATATCCGCTAACTCTTGATTGGAGAATAAAAATGTCATTTTTACAAAACTTACAAAAAAAACAGGTAAAAGAACCTAAATTTCGTGCATCACAATTGCAAAAAAACGTTTCAGGTTTCAACAGACAACAAAACTAACTGTCAACTAATTGACGTTTAACCTTATTCTGCTTTCAATTTCAAAAATATTTGCAGGCAGAGCCTACTTCTAAAAATTGTCGAGATACTGACTTTTCAACGTTATTTTATCATAAATAATTAAAAATGCATCGAACCCTAAAAATCGAAATATCTCAAAAACGGCTAACTATAACGAAAATTCACAAGATAGCTTTTTTATGTTGAAAAGAGCGAAGAATCAGTTTTTTTATTCAAAAAGCAAAAAATTGCACTAAGAAAAATTTTTCGGTCATTTTAATACTCTACAGGTACAGTAGAGAGCGCCCTCTAGCGGCTACAGTAAAGCTATGCCCATGGTTCGTTTTGTCGTACCAAAAAACCCTTGTATACCAATTTTCACTGTTATACAAATATTGTTCGAAATATTTAAAAGAAACTATTTTAGGAAGTAAATTTAAACACCCTGTATTTCGGAAGATACGCATTTTTCGACCCATGTTTATATAGACTTTATGCATTCATTTTTAAAGTTCTATCGAATCTTAGAGTTATGCAACAATAAACTGAAACACCCTGCATAATTATGGTGAAACAAACTTGGTCGATGACCCTGGAAAAAAAAGAGTTCTTTCAAAACGTGGATGCAAATATCCAGAAATTATTAAAATCTCGACCAAAGTAGCCGTAAGTCTTATGGTATGTGGCAATGCTGCTGGAGAAGTCTTGCCGTCCTATGTTAATTACAAAGCGGAATAAATGTGGGACACACAACAGGTGCTCCCTTAAATTCCCGATATAACCGTTCAAAATCTGGGTGGTTTGAAGGCAGTAGCTTTAAAGACTGGTTTTTTCCTTGATTCTGCCGACTTTAAAAAAGCGGAACGGAAAGAAAATTCTTATCGGAGACAAGGAATGTGGCGGTGAAGTGCTTCTAGCTGTTAAGGAATGTATTAAATCTGAGGTTATAGATGTTGCTGTATTTGATGCACAATTTTCATCAATTGATCTTTTAATAGTGAGATGCTATGTGGCATATAAGACATTTTTTGTGGCTGTTGTTTACATTCCTGACAAAATTGCTGTTGATGAATTTGAATCGTTCTTTGATGCTGTTGAGCAACTGGATTATTTGCACGACTGTAATTCCCTGTTTCTAGGAGATTTTAATGTGCCTCAACTTGTAAATGGCAATCTTCTAGACCCTAAGACATGCATTATCCATAATTTTTGGGACATTTTTAATTACGTTATAAGCAGTCAAATAATGTCTTAAATAAACATGGTCGGTCGCTAGACCTGGTAATTTCTAAATTACCCTGTACTGTTAAGCGTGATGAACTACCTCTAGTAGTCACTACCCGGCACTAGCTGTTGATTTGACTGCCATATTCATTAGAGAGCCTAAGTTTACATTCAATCATAGTATAATAACTTATAACTACCGAAAGGCTAACTTTGTCAACCTGTATCAAGAGCTAATTCACTTTGACTGGGATGTTTTATTCTGCTCTTCTGATGATAATTATATTGTTTATTTATTTTATGGCAACATTTTCCAAATTTTTGACAGGCACATACCTCTCTTTAAGAATTACACTCACCGATACCCGCCTTGGTTTCACTCAGCTATTATTAAGAACATGAAACTTAAAGCTAAATTTAGGAAAAAAATCAACAGATCTGCTTTTGTTGATGATCTACAAGAATTCAAACGTTTGCGCCGCTTGATAAAAAACCAGATTAAATCAGCGTATGATCAATATATTGAAAATATCCAGAATTCTTTAACAATTAACCCCAATGCTTTTTGGTCATACGTTCACTCCAAAAACAACACATCACGAATCCCAGGGAAAATGAAATTTCAAAATAATTCTATAGATCAGCCTCAGGATATAGTAAACGCATTCAGCAGCGTCTATGTCACTCGCAAGCCCCATAATAATGCCTCACTAAATCATAGTAATTTATTTGTCCATTTTCATCCAATTGAGGAAAATGAAGTCAGTAAGGCCATTAAATCACTAAAGGATAAGATGACATCTGGTCTAGATGGCATCCCGTCCTTTATAGTCAAAGATTGTGTAGAACTGTTTGTTGGTGTTCTAACTAGGATTTTTAATATTTGTCTTATAACAACAAGATTTCCAGATATTTGGATGATCGCTAAGGTCCGTCCAGTGTTTAAGTGTGGGGATAAGTCAAATATTGAGAATTACAGGGCAATCTCTATATTATGCATGTTCTCGAAAGTCATTGAAATAGTCTTGTACAGTCGCATTTACACTGCCGTCCAGCGTCAGCTGTCATTGCATCAACACGGATTTGTCGCTAATCGCTCAACAACCACAAATCTATTTATAATAACGCAGTACCTCTCGGAAGCCATTGATAGTAATGAGCAAGTTGACGTTATTTATACCGACTTTTCGAAGGCTTTCGATAAAATTAACTACAAAACTTTATTAAATAAGTTAGGTGCACTTGGTTTCACAGATGATGCTAGGGAGTTGATGAAATCTTACTTATCCGATCGTAGACAATTTGTTAGCTATAATGGCTTCCAATGTGAGACCTACTTGGCACCTTCTGGAGTTCCTCAGGGATCCGACCTGGGACCATTACTGTTTTTAATATTTATTAATGACCTCTGTGACTCAGTTGAATGTGAACGGCTATGCTTTGCTGACGACCTGAAAATTTATTCGCAGATAAATACCCCTGATGATTGTATCAAGCTACAACACCAATTAAATTTTGTGCTGTCTTGGTGTGTAGAAAACAAGTTAGAGCTTAATGTGAGGAAGTGTAAAATAGTCAGCTATACCAGGAAAATTAATGTTTACGAATATCGGTACTCTATTGATGGGTCTCTGCTAGAAAGATGCTCTGATGTACGTGATTTAGGTATAATCTATGATCAAAAGTTAACTTTTAGTCAGCATATAAATAAAAAAGCATCAGAAGCATTGGCGGCTTAGGGTTTCATAGTAAGGAATTGCAGGAATTTTCATAACATAAAGTCTATTAAGCTATTATATTATGCTTATGTTAGATCCAAAGTCGAATATTGTAGTATTATTTGGAGCCCTTACTATGAATGCTATAGCACAGCTATTGAAAGAGTACAACGGAAGTTTATGAAGTTTGTTGTGTTTAGGATTGATGGGACATATCCAGAGAGAGGTACAAGTAATGAGGAACTATGTAGTCGCTTAGACATGTTGACTTTG